TTACCTACTTATATCCGAAGATCCGTATCTGATTCAGATGAGGCTTTCGCATTTGTCAGGATGAGGTTGTTTGCCGAGGTCTTCGGAATAAGACCTAATCAGCGGTAGAGTTGTCCTCCTTATCCGTACAACTCTCTCCTGTCTTGGTTGCACTTATCTGATGACGTGGCCTAGGTGATAAGGCGACCGTGGAGGTGACACATGGCACCTGGGGCCAACTCAACCATAACCCAAATAGTAGGTTACTAGTTCATAAACCAATTTTTCCTCACTCAATGACCAGGAACTCTTTTATCAAAACATTTTAAAGTTTGTAGCTAAATGAAGTTTTAGTTTGATGTATATAATTAGCTAATTTATATTTTTCTTTGAGCTTAAAGGGCAAATAATTGGTTTATACTATCTAACTCTAATGCATTTGAGAAGTAAATAAGGGATATTGACTCTAACAATACTTAATTGGTCATTCTTCTAGTCTCCTTTTCTAGGTTAAGTAGAGGATGAGTCGAATAACAAAAAAAATCATACAATTAGAATGTAATCACCTATATTTTTAGGTGGTGGGTGCATATTTGTTTGGAATTGAAGTGAAATAGAAAATCCTTATTGATTGTGTTGAATTGTGATAAAGCACATATAAACATATTTGCTTCAAATCATATCCCTATCTAACTTTAACCATATTTGCTTTTTGCCCAAGAATGTAAAGATTCTTCCAATTACATACTTGCCATTCGAAATCCAATATTTCAAATTTAACTAGAAGTGAACTCTCAAGGTGTTACCTCGGTTGGCTAGCAAAGTTATGTTATTTTTGTGCTATATGTTGAGTCTCTTCCCTTCTTTTGGTTTTTTTGGTCTAAGGACTCAATCACTAATCAAACCTCTTTAACTTGGAATTGTAAGTGTAATCTTTTTTGAAAGATAAAGTAACTATATTATAATTCCAAAATATTAACATAACACAAAGAATCAAGAATCCCTTGGGCGTAATCCAGTAAGTAAAAGTAGTCCTGGGTGAGGCGTTTGGCCTTCTAAGCTATCATAGGGGCCCAAACATTGTACTTTCGATTTACATGAATAATAGAAAAGGAGTTAAAACTTTTCCATAAATCCTTGGTCTTTTGCAAAAGCTATGGCAAGACCAAGGGTGAAATGATGCTGATTGGAACACTTTCACCACAATCAACAAGTCAGCACATAAAATGATGTGCCCTCTTGTCATCTGGGTTGTCAGCTTGATCCTTTGCATAACTGCATTTAGTTCCGCTTATTCCACCGAGCCCAACCTCTTATAAAGACCCCCTACAATGTCATGAGACTCATGACATGAGAAACAGTTAGATAAGCAAATAGCCCCGAAAGTACATGTGTTGGGAGACAGCAATGATCAAATCCATATTTGAATTCAGCACTAAAGAAAATTTGTTTTGGTCGCTCACCATGGATTGACGAGGGTCATGAGAGGTTTTTCTCCCTGAGATTGTATAGACTAAAAAGTGTTGTCAATTTTAGCTAAAATAATCTCTAATGGGATCTGATGGTCCTTGAAACACCTCTCATTCCTTGCCAACCAGATAGAGTATAAAGAAATAGCATACCAACTGAGAACTGGATCAAGCATCATGTGATCAGGTAAAGAATTCATGAGGGAAAGAATACAATTAAACCAATACCCTTGGAACAAGTTTTGCAAGTTTGTATTCCACGAGGCGGTGAATAGAATGGCTTGAGTGAATTGACATTCTAAGAAAAGATGGTTAATCGTTTTAGAGGCCTCGTTGTAGAGCAGGCAAGTCTGATCTTGATCATTAGAGAAGAGGTTCTACTTAATTGGGATTAAACCATTTACAATGCTAGACAGGAGCAACTAGAATCTTGGGGATAGGAAGTTTCCAAATGCAATTAAAACATTTGTTCTTATCAGTTGAGAAACTGTGGACTACGGACCTTATAATAGCTTACGAAGGTCGGTTTGGTCCTCCAGAGACAAAGGACTACGGACCCTATAATCCAAATTCCAAAACACATGGGTCATACAAATAACTCACTTCTAGATACGTTCCATCTTAAAGCCCATAACGACAAAGGAGCTGCATGTCTTGAGCCATCGTGCAAATAGTGGCCAGGATAGCATATCAATTGAATGTGGCATGACCAAATTCATCAACCCAACCATAGTATTTAGGGAGGCACTCATAACTACAGGAAGGAACTCAACAGAAGGAAGCCAACCCTTTTTAATAATGAGAGAAATAGTTTCGGCAACACTACATGAAATAATATAATGCTCATGTGTCCTAAGTCCCTAGATGTTCAGAGGGTTGAGAACAACGAAACAAGAGGGAGCATTTCTTCTTTTTCATAATACTCAATCAACTCCCTCTCGAGAACAACAAGCTCCCCCTGAGTGGAGGACTTTTCAACAGCAGGGACGTTCTTGTCACCTCCTTTAGCACAGGCACCCTCTTGCACACCTCCTACGGAAGAGGAATCAACTGCACCCACCCACACCACCCCTAACCTTCTGCTCTGTCGCCTCTGTTGATAGGCACTCTTGACACAAACTAGAAGGATTCTCCTCGACCTGACCCACATTGCCATCGTCATGCTCTTCTAGAGTAAAAGCATGTTCTTGACAAGGTCTTACGATTGGGGTACCACTACCCTCGGCTCTCTCTTGACAGTGTCACCTACTCCAACCACTAGGGATGGCGTATCGATAACAGGAACTTTCTTACCCACCACTCCTTCCCTCCTTGTCTCCAACCTAAGACCACTTAGTTCGTCAATTAACCACCTAATAATGGGTGGCATAGCAACAACGGTAGGAGAACACGGGAGGTGTACCTACATAATGAACACAATCAATACAGTAATAAAACATCATAAAGGAAAAGAGCAGATGGATGATCATACAACGAGGGCCTATAAACTTTGGATGCTTGGAGMACTGGCCACCTTCCATCCTCTTCAAAATAAAAGACTACAACTAAAAGGATTGATTCATTAGTACCGAGAACAATACGAACCAAATAAACAAACAACTCAGGACAAAATTACCAAGTCAGGGTCCCCAACACCCCTCTCTCATGCGCGGACAGCAATCTTCTTAACTCACTTAGCCATAATAGGGACTGTAATAACTATAGTTGGCCCCAAAGAATCCCCTGCTGACTAAACTAAGATACCACTAACACCCTACACCACATTATAACCGGTCTCAGTCGAAACTTTACCTCAACGCTTTTCCCCCCTACTCCATTTCTCACTCCCGTTTTCTGACCCTATTATCATTCTGTATGGTCCCCCTGTGAAACTCCTCGACCTTGTTCACCCTTTAAAGAATAACTGTATGGATCGAAATTCAAAGGAATGGCTATTCTGTCTTGTCTTTCAATGGAGGCAATTGCCCCATATATATACAATTACATCATGATCAAATTAGCAACTTCCTAAAACCATACCTTCCTAAAACTCTATCCACAATATTAGCAACTTCCTAAATAATATCTTTCTAAATATATACAGTATCTACAATATCTCCATTACTCCCCCTCAAGTTGGAGCATGTAGGTCACGTATGCCCAACTTGTGAAGAAGAAAATCAAACTCTCATCGCCCAAGTGCCTTGGTCAAAATATCTACCAACTGATTATAAGTCCGTACATGAGCAGTCTCAATAGTCTGGGCACGCAAGGCATCACGAACAAAGTGACAATCAATCTCTATATGTTTGGTGCGCTCATGAAACACCACATTAGCCGCAATATATATAGCAGCACGACTATCACAATGCAATTTCAAAGGTTTGGGATGTTCCACCCCAAGATCGCGAAGGACACTCTTCAACCATTTCAATTCACATGTCGTAGCAGCCAAAGACCTGTACTCTGCTTCTGCAGATGACCGTGAGATGGTATTTTGCTTCTTGGTTTTCCAGGAAACAGGAGACCGTCCAAGCATTACAAAATACGCAGTCAAAGAGCGTCGTGTCAAAGGACAACTGGCCAAGTCGGAGTCACAATAAGCATATAATCTGAGATCACTGTTGACGCTCAACATGATTCCCTGTCCTGGATTTCCTTTTAAGTGTCGGACCACCCGTAGAGCTGCATCCTAATGTTCTTGTCGTGGTTGTTGCATAAATTGAGCCAATATATGCACAGCATAACAAATCTCAGACCGTGTTATAGTAAGATAAATTAATCTCCCTACCAGACGTCTATATTTTTCTGGGTCATCCAGGAACTTCCCGTCGGCCAGTGCGAGTCGATGATTTTGTTCCATGGGCAGATGGGCCGGTTTAGCCCCCAGCAGTCCTGTTTTAGAAATAATATCTAATGCATATTTTTGTTGGCAGAGATAGATGCCCTCATCTCCTCTGGCGACTTCGATGCCAAGAAAATACTTTAGTGTTCCAAGATCCTTCAAGTGAAAACACCGACTCAGATATTGTTTGAATTGATGTATCATCTCCCCATTGTTTCCTCCCACGACAAGATCGTCCATATACACCAAAACACATAGTGTAGCTCCGTTTTTGTGGTAAGTGAATAAAAAATAGTCTGAATGTGATTGAGTAAAACCATACGACTTTAACGTCGTACCTAATTTGGCAAACCAGTTTTTGGGTGCCTGTTGCAATCCGTACAGAGATTTGCGCAGATAACATACTTTCCCTGAATGTGTAGATGAAAAACCGGGCGGCAATCGCATATACACCTCTTCCGCTAGGTCACCATGCAAAAAGGCATTATGCACGCCCATCTGATGAAGCTCCCACTTTCGTGCCGCTGCTACTGCCAAGAACAACCGAACAATCACCATCTTTGCCACTGGTGCGAAAGTCTCATTATAGTCTATCTTGGCCTTCTGGTTGTTCCCTAAAATCACCAATCTTGCCTTGTGTCTTTCGATCGTTCCATCTGAATTATACTTGGTCATGTATACCCATTTGCAACCGATGGCTCACTTCCCGGGGGCAACGGTTCAAGGGTCTAGGTCCCATTGCGCTCGAGAGCTTCAATTTCTTCCTTCATGGCTTGTCTCCAATGTGACTCATGGATTGCTTCTGAAAAATATGTGGGATATTTCCCTGCAGTTATAGCTGCTAAAAACTGTCTCTGTCTCAAAAAAAAGTTAGTACAAGTCACGTAACGTATAATAGGATAGGACGCACCTGAAGAGTGGTATGATGTGGCATGATTCGCGAGGGGGTCGTTAATGTGCTGCGCTGTGTGGCATATATAGTCCTTCAGCTTTTCAGGAGGACGCCTTTCCCTACATCCTCAGCCAAGGTTTTCTTCTTCACTATTGCTTTCCAAGTTCACGTTGCCCTCTCTCTGTTCATTAAGATCTTCACCACTCCCCCTTACTTCCGGAGTCGCATCTTCTTCAGGAGTTGATTCATCATTCGAATTTTCTGCACTGTTAGCCTCATGGTCATCAAAGAATTGTGCATCATTATTACAAACAGACGGTTGCTCGGTCACACCGGGGTTAAGGGATTCAGAAACAACAGCTTTATAAGGAAATATATGTTCAGAAAATACAACATCACGAGATACAAAGAACCCATTTGTATCTAAGTCATAGAGTCTCCATCCTTTTTTACCGAAAGGGTACCCAACAAATATGCACCTTCGACTTCGTGAACCAAACTTCTCTTTGTCACGCCCCTGATAATGAGCATGACATAAACACCCAAAAACACGAATATGTTTGTAAGTTGGTTCCTTCCCAAATAGCAATTCACATGGACTCTTTCCTTCAAGTAAAGAACTTGGAGTACGATTAATTAGGTACCCGGCAGTCAATATACATTCACCCCAAAAACTCACTGATAAATTTGCCTAAAAATGCAAAGCACGTGCAACATTCAGAATGTGTCGATGCTTGCGTTCCACCCTGTCGTTTTGCTGAGGTGTCCCTACACAAGATGTTTGTTGAATGATGCCATGAATATTACAATAATTACTCATGGCTACAAATTCCGACCCATTATCACTTCTTACCACCTTAACCTTACTGTTGAATTGGGTCATTACCATGGCACAAAATTTCACAATATTAGCACCAACTTCACTCTTTTCTGCCATTAAATAAATCCACACTGCCCGTGARTAATCATCAACGACGGTTAGGAAATATATAGCACCACATGAAGTAGGAGTACGATATGGTCCCCAAACATCACAGTGAATTAAGGCAAAAGGTGCAAAAGCTTTATTACAACTTAGAGGAAACACATCACGAGTTTGTTTAGCTCTTAAACAAATATCACACAACTCACTGGATGTTTCTTGACTAGCAAATTTATTTTTAATAGTAGGAAGTAAACTAACAACTTGTTTTGAGGGATGTCCCATTCGCCTTTGCCACAGCTCATATGAGTCCACCTTTGCCAACCTGCATGCACTTGTCCTTGCCACACAGCGCCAAAGATAGACCCTATCACGCTTCTCACCCACACCAATCACTGTCCTCGAAGTGGGGTCCTGCATTACACATAAATTGTCAGAAAACATGACTGTACATTTTAATTCATCAATAAATTGAGACATAGATGTCAAATTGCAATTCAAGTTGGGAACATATAAAACATGTTTTAAGTTCAATCCTTTCCCAAGCTGCACTTCTCCTTCTTGCAACGCCATCATATTCTTTCCATCAGGCAGTCCAACAGCGCAAGGAGCGATTTCATGCACATTCTTCAATAGCTCCAAATTCCCGGTCATATTATGAGAACACACTGAATCAATCAACCACATTTTCTTACCCGTCAATTTTTCTGAAGTGGATTCCTTGTGTGAATTGATCATCACCATTAATGTTGCCCATTGTTCATCATTAAGTCCGGGAAAACCAGCTTTATCGCTGGTCCGTACAGCCGCAGTAGTGGTGTTGGTGCCGCAATTTCCTGGTGTTTGGACAACATTGGCCGCCACTGAACTAGATCCTCCTCGACCTCTTCTGGTTCCCGTGCCTCGACCTCCTCGTCCTCCACGACCACCAAAGTGACCTCCTTTGCTTGCAAACCACCAATCTGAGTAGCCTACAAGCTGGAAGCATTCAAGTACCTCATGTCCTGTTTTCCCATAGTGAGAGCATGTCTTCTCATCCTTGTTCTGAGATTTGGTTCTATTTCTAGTTTGCACAGCAAATCCTTCAGCCTTTGCTCGTTTTTCACGTGCTCGAGCCACCGTTTTGTGTCGTTCTTCTTGCACAATTATTGCATATATTCGGTTCAAAGAAGGTAAAGGTTATGTACTCAAAATGTTCGGTCTAACAGTACCATAAACTGCATTGTCAAGACCCATGAGGAATTGATGAATTTTCTCCTTTTCCCGCTCCAACGTCAGCTCGRTCGTCGCTCCACACTTGCATCCACCACACGTGCATTGTGGTTTCTTCACATACCCAGCCAACTCCTCCCACATGGTCTTCATCTTCCCATAATATGCAGATACAGTCATACCTTCTTGTTTGCAATTGGCCAAGTCGCTCTTCAAATGGTGAATCCGCAGATCATTCCCGATGGCGAACCGTTCCCGAAGATCTTCCCACAGTTCCTTTGTTGTCTGCATATAGGAGATCGTAGACTGAAGCCCCGGTTCTATGGTATTGAATATCCATACTACCAACATGGAATTCACACTATACCAATCTTCCAATTCGCCGGCATCATCACCAGGTTTCGTCACATTTCCTTCAAGGAAAGCTAATTTCTTTTTTGCTCGGAATGCGTTTTTCACAGCTTTGGCCCATTCATCATAGTTATCCCCTTTCAAGATGATAGGGGTCATGACCAAGCCGAGGTTGTCTTGCGAACCAAGGTAATAAGGAGATTTCGAATAAGCCATAGTGTAAGTATGGCTCTGATACCATAAAGAATAATTGTATGGATCGAAATTCAAAGGAATGGCTATTCTGTCTTGTCTTTCAATGGAGGCAATCGCCCCATATATATACAATTACATCATGATCAAATTAGCAACTCTAGAAATTAGCAACTTCCTAAAACCATACCTTCCTAAAACTCTATCCACAATATTAGCGCCCCATATATATACAATTACATCATGATCAAATTAGCAACTCTAGAAATTAGCAACTTCCTAAAACCATACCTTCCTAAAACTCTATCCACAATATTAGCAACTTCCTAAATACATTATTAGCAACTTCCTAAATATAATATTAGCAAATTCCTAAATAATATCTTTCTAAATATATACAGTATCTACAATATCTCCATTACCCTTACAGGAGTTTCCCCATTTTGCACCAGCATTCCAACCCCTGACCTTCCAACATAAAGCACAAACCCAAAAGAAGCTGCCAACACGGGAAGAACTAAGGACCCCTCCTCCCCTGCATGGAAAGCCTCAACATCAGGCGTTGTCACCTCTACCCCTTTCCCAAACTAGTAATCCCGAAGCCAAAGTGGGGCACGGGCACCTTTCCGCCCTTTCTACTGGGTTCTCACGCGATGGGGCACTACAACTCTAAGTGGGACAAATTGTTGCCACAACCGCCCCAATGATGCCATCCTCTATTTTTTGCTAATGGGAGGCTGACTGCTTTCCCCTGTCTCGACCATGGGTCGCTTACCCTAGCATCAACTTCCACACACCATTATCTTTCCAAAGTAGCTTAAGATGTTGGCACAGTCCTACCACTCGACCACGGGTGCTATGAGGGATCTCCTCAACTTGTTCCGCCACATGACCAGGAGGTGGAGCCTTAACATGCCTTGGTTGTGGCTCTGCCACCATGAAAAGCTATAACCCACTGAACAATGCACACAAGTACTCTCGTCGAAGCAAACTACATTCCTCCACACGCTTATACCTAGCCAATGGAAAGTGTGTAACATCGATGTGCACAAGATTGTTGTGCCATTACCAAAACGCATCCTCACCCTCAGAATGTAGAAACTACAAACCCAAGCTATCATAACCAAGCTGGTGGAGAAGTCGATCTGGCCAGTAGGCAATTGATTGAGCCTTGCCTGACTTATTCGAGTAATATAGAACACTGGGCCATAAAACGGGGCAAGCGTTCCCCACCATCGGATTATCARTACYAGTAGCACATTGTTGGTCACCTCCTTCAGGARCATTCATGCCAACACAAAGGCATGGAATGAGTGGCATACTTTGCATTCGGACGAGGGAAGAACCCATCAAGACTACAAAATTGGGCCTCTATTTCATTGACAATGAAACTCTGACACCTCTTTGCATCCAACCATCGCATCCCATGACAAACCATCCAAGGTAATCTCCTCCAAACCCGAGCCGTCCAGAGTAGCCACAGGAACGCATAGGGGAGAAAGCTTACGAGGAATAACATCAAGGTTGAATCACTCACAGATAAACATAAAAATAAAAGGATAAAGCACATATGGTGACCACCGTTTATTGCTGGGATCCATCACTTCATGAACGGTGTCATCCATTTGCTCATATAAGAATCCAAGAAACATCGATGCCAACAGTAGCTAATGCACACCAGCGGCAAGAATTGCAATCGGCACCAGGACATTTCATAAACCATAATCAGGGCTACCAAGAAACAAAAACCTGGAAGCAATGCAAAGAATGAATGCAGSTASGTGACACTGACTGCTCATCTTCCTTACCAAGAAATCATCTGTACCTCGACATTCAAACTAGTACCTGATCCAACCATCGGGCAACATCTTGTTGCAAGCGGAAGTGGCACCTATTTTAGCCTTGAATCTATCAATCTCCGCCACCGACTCCTCGTGGATAACTATGAACTCTAGGAATACTTTTAGCATACTGGAGATGATACGCAAACACTGTACCAACTAGAGGCAAAGCCAACACGACAGCGACATTCTCCACTATCAATCCAAACTCACCAAAGGCATCGACAAACATGTGCGTCCAACAACACCAATGCGCCAAAAGAGGCTTCATGAAATCAACGTCGTCTCGGCCTAGATGGTTCATGAAACAATACACCAATCTCAGTAGGTCAGCATCTCGATGAAGCCTACAATACATAGGGTTGTCCAACACGAAGGTCGCCCAGGACGTATAGTTAGTAGAACCCTTAGTTCCCTCCATCTTAGGTTCGGTACACCTGTAAACCATTTTATGCTTCTACCAGCCATACATACACAAAAGTTCATTCCCATCCACGACAATAAATGTGTCATCTTTCCCCTTAGAGACACAAGMATGGGAGGCCAGAAACCCTTACCAAGATTGGACACTTTGGCAGCCTCATACTCACACAAAAGCTCAGTTGTATCCACCTCGCGTTCGAAATCAAGAAACAAACAAACATCTCTCACTACCTTCTTCTGCTTACAAGGAGCCATTTTGTACAAGATAAAGAAAACCCGAAAACCCGAAGAATGGAGGATGATAACAAAAGAATGCAACACCTAGTGAAAACAACAAAAGCTCTACAACAAACGATAACCCTTGACACAAGATGATACTTTGGAAGGAAGAAAAATCTCCCTCCCAAATTGTCATTTTAAATGGAGCCTTACACATGTTGGGAACTGAAATACAACGGACAAAGGACAGACATGACCATCCAATCACTTCATTCACCAAATGAATGGGAACTAAAACGTTGCCCAAATTACAATCATACCTCGAAAAGTGTGGGACACGTATGCTAACAACTTAGACACGGCCGCCACATAAAAGAAAACAATCATTACTTTGATAAATCGTCACATTGCATGTGTAAATATGTTAGCAGTTAAATCGCCCCTCTTCAAGAATGAATTGAACCATCACCAACTAGTTCCGACCACAAGGGGGTTGGGCACCCCACTTGCCTAAACTTGGTAGTCCATTTTTCCTATAAGTACAAGTGCCGCAAACCTGGCCTAAGTACTTGAAACCATGTTTCTCGATAGAAGAAACTCTATCAAGACACAGAGGGGGCTAAAAATCAACACAATCTAGGACCATAGTATCTGCTTCTCGATACAATGCCTTCTATCCTAAAACAAGGTTGTTGACTTTTCAACCTAATCCCCTCTTCTCTGGTGCTTCTTGACAAAATGCCTTCTATCRGGAAGTAGGGGCTAATAAACAATAGAGGAAACGGTGAACCGTACCATCCTCATCTGATGCACCATTAAACAAAAGCATTGACAATATCCATCCCAAGCTACCACCCAAAATCCTTCACTCACCATGCTACACGATTAGACTTCAATGACAACTTCAAAGTCCAAAATCCAATGCAACAAAAACCCAACATAACAAAATTTTCACTCACATAATGGATAAAAAGTAGGCAAGGATCTATTGTAGTCCCCGTCAACAACTGATGGTTTATAATACAAACACACAACCCAATCAATTGTTCCATTCCACGCTCTCACTGCTACAAAGCCCCATCACTATGTGATACCTAGTCATGAGGAATAAACACTAACCACTCCCATCAGCTTGACAAATGCAATGATCGCCAACTTCCTTTTCCTTGCCACGGTCATAAAGTCGCAATCGACGAGTATTGATTTCCCCACTTCCAAAACACCAAATTGCATGACACACTAACCGTAAAAATGYTTATTGATAAGAATACCCTTATCAATAAGTAGGGGGCTAATTGTAAGTACATGTCGTTCCCCATTGCCACGATAGTGATTAAGGAATCGAAACAAAACCATACACACACTYGTAAAAACATGGAGGACCACCCAAAACTTGCAATATGCTTAGAAAGTCATCCCAAGCTTGCAATGAGCCCAAGAAGCTACCCCAAGCATGCGATGAGCACAAAGAGTTGTCTCGAGCTTGTGATGAGTTTAAAGAGACATCTTAAAACTACGATGAGATTGAAGAGCTAATTCGAACATGCGATGAGAACATAATATCACCTAATACTCACAACGGTTATGACGAAGCATCCCAAAGACAATAAGATGAACTGCCAAACATATCAATCAAGCCTAGGCCCTACCCACGACACGTGACATCATKAAACCTACGACCAGAAACAGCATAAACATGCTAAAAGAGAATCCTCGAACGAAAGAAAACTTTGTCCTCAAGATATCTCGTTAGACATGTGGAAAAACCATAGTAATGTTCCCTCGATAACTGACATGAAGATAATGATTCCCTTTCCTAAAAAGAATCAAACCCTTTTTTGGATCATTTTCCTTAAAGTCTCGGGATCCCCCTTATAAAAAGAGGGAATAAAAGTAGAACCATGACGCATTCATTACTTTAATTGCTATCCCACTCTACTGAGGCTCCCGAGCAGCTGAAGGCATACTTATTATCTCCCTTTGCAACCCTAACCCGAGAAGTAGAAGCATGTTTAGAAACATAAAATCCACTTTTATTTCTATTGCAAAACTAGCCCGGAGCCTCCTCATAACTTTATAGAAATTCCATAAGCAAGGTTAGTGATTTCTTCTCCCCTTTAGTAAATATAAGAGTGTCAACCACACAAAAAGAGTGAGAGACAATACAACACCCATTAGGCAAGTGAAAATACCAAACTGAATTATTGGCCATCAACATTTTAAGGCCCCTACATAAAACTTCCACTACTGAGGTAAATAGGTAAGGAGACAAAGGGTCCCCTTGTTGCAGCCTCTGGTAGGATTTAAAAGAGCCATGGGTCACACCATTTACAATCACCAAGAACCAATAGTTCAAGATCATATGCTTCACAAGGTTAATCCACTCAATAGAAAAACCAAAGTTTTCAAGCACCCGATATAGAAAGGACCATTCAAGCCTATCATAGGTTTTTGTCATATCTAACTTAAGAATGACTACCACCTATTATTTTCCTAACAATTTCATTTGTCATTTCCTACACCAAAGCAATATTGTCCAAGATATTTTGGCCTTGAACAAAAACATCCTATTCTACAGAAATAAGCAATTTCAACCTATTATTGACAATTTTTGCAAGAATTTTATAAGTAAAATTTCCAACATTGATAGGTTTAAAATATGGGAAAGTTGTATGGTCCTCCACCTTTGGGATTAGAGAAATCAACGAAGAAATACAACTTGGAATTTCTCTACCACTAAAAATGAAGCAAATAGCATCATACACATCCTCAACCAAACACTGCCTCCTTGACTTCATCCAAACTAGGGATCATCATTGACCCAGCATTTTCCTTAAAGTTACAACTAGATCTATTACTGGMAATAAATCTAAGCCCTCAAAGACCTCATTTACCGAAAGAATGATAGAGAAAAAATTAATAGCAACATTCCCAATGACCTCCTGATCCAACTGCCAGTTACCTTGTGAGTTCTGAATTCTTTGAATCATACTTTTCCTCCATTTTACTTTAATTAAATTATGAAAAAAAGTTGTGTTCCTGTATCCCTTTTTCAACCAAGTAATTAAGGATTTTTTACACCAAAATATCTCCTCCATTTTCAACACCTTGTGGAGTTGATTTATAGCCTCATAAAGAGTCAATCTAGCATCATCAGAAGGATTCTTAGCATGTTTAGATTCTTTGGCACCAACTAAATCTTCTTCTTGGTGGACTTGCTAGTGTATGTCCCAAAAAATTGACCAGTTCCAGTTTCTTACAGTAGTTCTAAATCGTTTCAATTTTTTTTTTAATTTTAATAGTTGGATCTCCCTCCATAGGCTTCTGCCAACATTATTTCACCTCACCATAGAAACTTGCATTCTCCAACCACATTTTTTTTGGAATTTAAAACCTCATGAGGGAGAAGAATTCTCCTCCACAAAAGACAACAGTAAAAGTGCATGATCTAAGTATAGACAGTTCAAATATTTATCTAATCACAAAGGGAAATTATTCAACCATTCATCATTAACCAGAACTTGTCCAGCTTGGACCAAGCACAATCCAAGCCTTGCCTCCCATTATACCAGGTAAAGATATTCCCTTCATAACCCACATCCATGAATTGTAGGTTATTAACTAGACCTTGAAAATCCTCCATGGASCCGCTATCTAGGCCCCTTCATCCCACTTTTTCCCCCACAACAAGAACAAAATTAAAATCCCCCACTATCATCCAAGGAGAAATAAAGGTTGGGGCAATATCGGACAATTCAAACCAAGGCAATCTATGATCCACCTAGTTACACTTAGCATAAACACAAG